AGTCCTGACTTGTTTACACACCACAAAGGTTATCTGATCAGCTTGAAATGACTTTTAGGATGCACAAAACTGTATAGTACAAATGTTAAGAATATTCCATTTACATTTTGGTTTGGGGATTAGTTTGATTTGTGGTTGTTGTGGATGTATTGACCCGTGCGAGGGATATTCCCACTGGAAATCAGGAGCCACCATTGTTAGTTAGTACGACCAAGGCACAATTTCAAACTGACCACATATATACTCCCTCCGTCCCGTTTTGTTAGTCTTGATTTTTTTTTTCACACAGATTAAGAAAGTGTAATTAATTTGGTTGGAAACATAAATTTAGATTAATAATTTCTTAAAATACCCTTATGCTAATCACGAAGAGTGCCAATTAATATCAGTTACAGCTAATGGGTTAGTATTGGAAAAGCTCAATGTATTCAATGTAGTGGATTAGTATTTAATAACAATGTATTAATAACAAGATATTTAATAAAGGTATTTTAGACAATTTGAAAGATTACTACATTTCTTAATGGAAAAGTGGACTACAATTTGGGACAGACGAAAAAGAAAAACAAGACTATCAAAGTAGGACGGAGGAAGTATATATATTGATATATATAGAGAGATGCGTGCGTACAATTTGTGCATGCGCTCAAACATGACATTATATATATGCTGCTAGGAAATTTTCCAAATCCTCGTAAAAGCACCTGAAATGAAAATTTTCCCATTTTATGTAAGGTTTTTCTAATAATTATAATGTTCACTTGTATTTATATATATTTTTTTATTCAATTTTACCTATTCTCTCTTATATTTATTTAATTTTTTTAATTAATTTCACATGTCAAAAAATATGATACGTGAAATATATTTTAACGAGTGTCTATTAAGCATGATTAGATACCCTTTTGCGTATCACGTATGTTGTCGATCATAAATTGCGTGTGCTTAGTTCTCATTGTCTCTCAATAAAAAAAAAATAATGTGACTCTAATAATTGACTTAGTGCAACAAAATTGACTTCTGGGAATAAAACTTGATAATTGTCTTCTATGAAAGCCATAGCCATAGGTAAGAGAAGGCACAGCTGTCATGTACGTACTAGAGTTTCTCTGTTATTAGTTCTCAAAACCACGGGAATTTGTGCATTAATTAATAAACACTAGAAAGAAAAAAAAAATTATAGATGGGAATAGACCAAAAGGGGCAAAATCACGAGGGATGGACTGGCTATATAAACCGGACGTATGCCTTCCATTGTTCCTCCCCTTCTTCTTCTTTCTCCTCTCCCCTCATTTGCGTCTTTCACTTTCTCTCTGTAAAGACGCACTTGCTCTCTCTCCCTCTCCTTCTCCCTCGCCCTGTCTCTCTCTCCCTGCTATTTGGAGTTTTCCATTACAGTTCTGGTACTTTGCTATTTTCCCTCTTATTGGACTTTCACCATTAAAATCTCCTCCCTTTTACGTCTGCTCCTGCAACATTACCGCAATTAATTTAACTTTGTCTATCAAATGGCTACTGATTATTTTGTTAATGTGCATCTGTGTTGTGTTCGTATTACAGATTGTGGGAAGGGGAAAAAGAACCAACAAAAAACTAAAATGATGGTTTTTTTCTTTTCCCTTTTTTTTTTTTTTTTTTTTTTGGTTTTGGTTTTGAAGCACCCTTCTTATTTGTTTTAAACCTTTACCACAAGGTTTTTCTGTGGGATTTTCCTCCTTCCATGGGGTTTTGATTTCATGATTGTCTGGAGGAAAGAAATTTCCTTTTACTTAGTGACATTTCCAAATTGTTAGTTGATCCGCACGTCTAATTGTTAAAGAGTCCAAAATATGCTGCAGGCCCTATTCTATTGTTATATGATGCAACGTATAGCAATTATAAAAGCTCTGGTTCCGTCGATTTTGCACATGACGGCTAAGCTTGGCAAGCTGTCGAGGTTTTTTTGATTGTCGACCGCCATTTCTTGTTCTTGCTGGAAATGGTTGGTCGTGAGTTGTCCTGTAAAACTTGGCAAAAGCCCAGGAGAGGGTACCTTAGCTTTTAAAGCATATTCCGATTGTTTTCTCTCTCTCTCTCTTTTTTTTTTGTCTTGTGGGCTTGGTTGAAACAAAATTGTACACGGTAGTTTGGCGTTTATTTCACTCCTATCCCTGCGTAACGTGCTCTGACCCAAGACTTGTGCTAAACTAAGAGCTTAAAAATCAAAGTTTCTATACTTATACTTTGCTTGTGTCCTTGTCCTGGGTTTTGCTTATTCCAGTTGAAAGGAGTAAAAACAATAATAACAAAGATGAATGTGAAAATTTTCATCAATCAAGTTTGGTGTGCTTACCTTTTTTTACCTGCCGCACAATGCTTACGTGTTTAAGTTGTATACTCAAATGCAGTTGTTGGAGATCGATCGAGATGGAATTCGAGGGGCGTTACGGGCAGGTTCAGAGGCAAAAGTATGACTGCCTTTTATTTGGTAAGTTTTCACTTTAAATATATATATATATATAAACAAAAATAAAAAGTGGTTAAACTAATACCAACCACTTTTAAAAGAGTTATTGGATGGATGGATGGTGCTTAAACATTACAAGTAGTTTAACATATATGCAATTATGCATTGCTTGAGAGGACGTGTGATGAGTTTTGTTTGGTTGCATCTCAAATATTTCAGACCTGGATGATACTCTTTATCCCTTAAGTTCGGGTCTGGCAGCTGGATGCCTCAAAAACATTCAAGGTCCGTATGCCTTTTTTTTTTTTTAAATTTTTTTCCCCTTCTTTTAAAGGTGTATCTGAATGGATTATTGTGGACAACGCAACGTTAAATGTTTCTCTGGACGTGATTTTCCAGATTATATGGTTGAAAAGCTTGGGATACACAAGACCAAAATCCCTGATTTGTGTAACCTTCTCTACAAAAATTACGGGACCACCATGGCGGGCCTTAGGGTGAGACTAGCGACGTCTACTCAACTCAACGCCCCTTCTTTTTTTTTTTTTTTGTTTCCCTTCTAATTTTTAAATTTTGTTTCTTTTGGGGATGGCCTTTTGTCTTGCAGGCGATCGGTTATGATTTTGACTATGATGATTATCATAGGTAAGCAACTTGTAGATGATTCTGCTGCTTATAGCCGTACATTATTAACATTATTGTAAGTGATGAGATTACTGCAGTATGGTTGAGGCGGTTGATTCAAGTTTTCACTGCTAATTTGCAGCTTTGTCCATGGGAGATTGCCTTACGACAATTTAAAGCCCGATCCCGTTTTGAAGAGTCTTTTGTTAGGCTTGCCTTTCCGCAAACTGGTGAGTGCCCCGATAACCTTTTTCTGGAGATTTCCTAACAGAAAGGTCATCTTCTTCTTATGGTTTTGCGCTTCTTCGTGAATTCTCTGCAAAACAGATCTTCACAAATGCTGATGAGGCCCACGCCACCAAAGTTCTAAGCAGATTGGGGTTGGAAGGTTGTTTCGAAGGCATTATATGCTTTGAGACCCTCAATCCCACTCATAAGACCGCAGTTTCTGATGACGAGGATGACATTGAATTTGTGGGCTCAGCAACACCTTCCTCCCCTGGCTCCCGTAGCTCCGACATATTTGATATAATCGCCCATTTTGCTCAACCTAATCCTAGCGCAGCATTGCCGAAGACCCCAATAGTTTGTAAGCCATCAGAAGCTGCCATTGAACGGGCTCTCGAGTTGGCCAACATCAATCCACACAGAACGGTACGGGTAGTAGCACAACAGTCTGATTATCGCACTTTCCTTTCCTTTCCTTTCTGGCATTCATGCTCTGAACCCATTTTCTGATCCTTCTTGACCGTTTGCAATCGCAGCTGTTCTTTGAGGATAGCGTAAGAAATATTCAAGCCGGGAAACGTGTAGGTCTGCATACTGTACTGGTAAGAGTCTTCGCGAAGCACCCACCGTTGATCAGTATGGTACATCAATATTGGTACTAGATATATATATACTTAAAAATCCAGAAGGCGTCCTGTTCTTTGATGCGCGTCCCAAACCGATTTTACTCATTCTCACTGAAACTGCCTATGCAGGTGGGCACCTCTCAAAGAGTTAGGGGTGCAGATTGTGTCTTAGAAAGCATCCATAACATTAGGGAAGCAATACCAGAGCTCTGGGAAGCCGACAAGATGGCTGAAGTCAATTACTCTGGAGTTGCGGTAGAAACCTCTGTGACAGCATAGCTGGCTCAAACAAAAGCGTTGGCGGTTCGAAGGAGAAATCAATCGAGTTCATGGGATCTCTGCGCCATCCCAGCTGCTGTCCAATTGGTTAAATAATCTATAATGATGTTCTTAGGTAGTATAGTAATATATTATTATTATTATTTAACGTTCTTTCGACGAGCGAGTGATCATAATTAATAAACCTTGTAAATAACCAACCTCCTTGGTCTTAATCAATGCAATCGTCAGCTTCTCGTCTCCATTTTAGGCTGCCATGGTCATTATGTATTCTTAAAATAATAATAATAATAGTAATAATATATTGGGAAGCAAATTATTGTTGCTCCCGAATGATTAAATAATAAATAGAGGGTGTTATGTAGATATGGAACGGATACCCTTCTCTTAGCATGCATTAGACAGATGATGATGATATCTAGGACACGGATCACTGGTGTCAAGATAAAGATGGAGAATTATACCTCCACTCCAATCATCATCATAATAATACCAGTTTTGAACATCACATCACATCAAAATGACTTGTACCAGGAAATGATTCCATCCAGTCATGCTTCCATAATTCCGGGAGTAGGCAATGTTCGTGACAATTGCTTCAGTGAGAAGATAGGCTTGGATCTTGAATCAATCCACACTCTTGCTTGTACACGTCACATCACCATGATTGGCACGCACAGCAGACTTGCCACAATGTTGGAAGAGGACAACGGAGCAGTACTGTGAACCAAACACAGTTGACAGGGCCCTGCCCCTTACCCCTCTCTCTCTCTCTCTCTCTCTCTCTATATAGTAATAGTAGTATAGTACTAGTACGTACATTAGATTTCATTTTCTTGCACTCCAATCGAGAGCCCTGGCTCCCACCACAATCATGCTCGTATCATCATTTCAGTGGGTTCAAAGAATTTGTTCGAGGTTGTCAACGTAATATACGGTCAGTAACAACAAGGCACCAAGAGCCCACCAAGGCATAAAACGTCGAGGTCAAAGCTTTAATCTTGATTCTCATTTTACCACTTAATTGTGATTTTTTTTGATGAAAAAATTTCCGTCGACCTTTTCTCTTTTTAGATAAACATTATCGTTGTGTAACAGGAAAACAACAACAACGAGGCACTAAGACTTCATTATTGCCTGCAACAAGAAGTGGATGTAACCCATATATGTCTGCCACGCAAACACAACACAGTAGTATTTCTATTTGCAACGAGAAGCGGAACCCAAAACAAAACACGGGTCCGCCCGCAGAAGCATTTCTCAAAGAAAAGTGGGTGAGAACGCGAAGTTTGGCAGAGAGCGTTTATGCGGAATGGAGGGTCAGTCCAGTCACGAAAAAGTTTCTAGGCCAAGCCCAACAATGTGATATGGGCCGAGCGTTGACTATCTTTCCCTGGACTCGAGACGACAATTAATTATCTCATTCAAAAGCCGTCAAATGTCGAAACAGCTGGTGGTGCGTCCTTTTCGAGCCTGGACAAAGAAAGCAGCTGCTGGTGGTGGTGAGCCATTCCGTACTGCACTGGTGGTTGAGCTATATTTTTCAGGAATGGTCCAAAGGCCGCCGCTAAGGGAATAGGAGGAATTAGTACCAGTTGAAATGCAATCGATGAAAAGACGTGAATCGGTCAAATGGTCTCAGATATATGATTTACTATCAACAAACAACAGCAGGCGAATCGATTTGGGAATTTGGCTGCAAAATGCAATCTCATATGGACAGATCAAAAGACGAAAAGTTTCATGATTTAACACGCGCTACGGGCTACTTAATTGACAGTTTTCAACAGGTGTGAGGTTAGTTCTGCGTCCGATTAAAACCTGTATGTATGAGTTGTTCATCTTACTTGCCAGTTACCACTGGATTGGATCCTTTTTTTTTTTTCACTGCGGGTATTCGGATCTACACCTGGCTAATCCTACAGCGCTCCAATAGAGCAGATCCAATCGATGCTAAAGAAGATAACAACTGGATTGCTGCTCGAGATCGAACCCAGATAGAACTCACCTAAAGAGGCTACTTTCACCTGCAGACCAACCCAGCGCGGCAGGCGGGATTGGCATCCAATGGGGACGATTTAGTGGTTGTAGACTGGTACTAGTGCTACTAGTATCATTTATTGCTGAAAGGCAGGGGGGTTGCTGGGTAGGTTTTGAGTTTTGATGACATAAAATAAAGTCATGCATGCTGCTGCTGCATATATACAAAACGCGTTACCGTCTCTTTTCAAGTCTTAAGGGTTGCGTCAGGACTTGTTATATTCATCAAAATTAAATACAACCAACAATAGCAGAACCACGTAGGAATGAGATAAGGTAATTGGGCCGGGACTGACAAAAAAAGGATAAGAATCTCGCACCATTAAGATAATTTAGTATCCGCTAGATATTACCGCGGTAATAACTGTAACGGTCGAAAAAAATTCGTCTGTCATATTCGTAAAACGTGTAAGTGATTTATTGTTGCATTGCACCACCGGCGAGAGGAAAATTGGGTGGTCGTAGAATCGAACGAGAACTCTCTAGGAATTTCCGAAAAAAAAAAAACAAAAAATTTGGTCCAAATGGCAACCATGTTGACACGTGTCCCCATCACTGCCCCATTCCAGTGCCATAATAAATTGAGTCTGGTGAAGACACTCGACAAAAACAGAGTGCTTGAAGAATTCTGTGCTATCTCACCAGTTGGGACGCGGGGAAGTTTCGGGAGGCGCCTTCGGATAGCTGCAATGGCCGATTTTAACAAAAGCACTGTTCTTGTCACCGGGGCTGGTGGTAGAACCGGTAACGTGGCATCTCCTCACCCTCTCTGACTTTTCCATTCTTATCTCTTCATCTTTTTTCCCTTTTCATATTTTTTCCTGGCAATTTCTTGTCTGTAGATGTGTTCTGCTGTGTGATTTTACTACTATGATATATCGTTGATATGTGATTTGTGGCATTTTCGTGTGGAAAGGTTTTAGAGGGTTGTCGTTCTAGTTCGATTTTCTTTCACCATTTCTTTTTATAATATGCCCGATGATTCAATGTATCCGCTATTTCAGGGCATAGTCAAATTGCTGATTTTTGTTTCTTGTTTTTTTTTTTCCCCACTTTGGTCTCACTAGAACTTGGAGAGTGTCCCCTTCGGGGCTTAGGGCTTTACCTCCCAAGAGTTTTGGGAATAACGTCGATGTTGAAATTTCAGTTTTCAAGATCAGCTTGTGGGTTTATGTCTGGACAATGTTTGGCGTGCACTTTCACAAAGCATTGGTTTTCCTACGCGGAGAGATCATGACTATTGAACACAGGGATTCATTTTCGTTAGGCTGAACGAGTGGAACTCATCTGACTCTGAATTTGTATCTTAGACAGTTGTTTGACGTTGATGTATCTGATTGATTGCAGGACAAATTGTTTATAAGAAATTGAAGGAGAGGTCAGACCAGTATATCGCCAGAGGTTTAGTTAGGACTCAGGAGAGCAAGGAGAAAATTGGGGGAGCGGATGATGTTTATGTTGGGGATATTAGGAATTTTGACGCCATTGTACCTCCTATACAGGGTATCGATGCACTTATTATTTTGACGAGTGCTGTGCCCAAAATGAAACCAGGTTTTGATCCAACCAAAGGTGGAAGACCCGAATTCTATTTTGAAGATGGAGCTTATCCTGAACAGGCAATGCCTTTGTAGCCTGTGATCCATACTCTTTATGATTCGGTTACCTTTTGTTTAACATCCCTGATCTCAATTACTACACATTCAGGTTGACTGGATCGGACAAAAGAATCAAATTGATGCAGGTAGAGTTTGTTCTGCCATTTGGTAGTCCAAATCATTTCCTAAAATCTGCTTTTACCAAAACATTTGCGTTCTACTTCCACAGCTAAAGCTGCCGGAGTGAAGCACATTGTACTCGTTGGGTCAATGGGAGGAACAAATCCTAATCACCCACTGAACAGCTTAGGGAATGGGAACATACTGGTTTGTACTATCTCATGCCTCAAAATTTTCCGTCACATTTGTGTATCCTTCACTTTCAAATCTGTGGCTCATTTCATTTTACAGGTGTTTCCTCTTGTTATGTAGATAAACAACATGAAGTTCCAAAGAGATGCCTTTCACTTTTGTCTATTGTTGGTCTACACAGCTTCTTAGCAAGCACATCCATGCCTGTTTTCTAATTTTTCTCAACTTAATCTTATCATCTGGCTCAAGTTTGAGCAATTTGGAAATCCTTGCTCCCGCTTTTGTTGAAATTTGTCATGTGAAATGAGGCATTGTTGGAGTCTAAGTGAAAACATGACTTGATTGGAATGCTTCTCTATGTCAGGCTGTGCTTCCTTTCTCAACCTTCTTTGCTGCTCGTATTTTTTTGACCAAGTAAACTAAACCACAATAATGATTTCCACTGTAATAGATATGGAAGAGAACGGCTGAACAATACCTGGCAGATTCGGGGATCCCATACACCATTATAAGGTATGCCCATGTTCATCCTATTTTTTTTTTCTTATGAAAGATTTCATACAAGCATTCATAAGACAATATACTGACACCATTTGCTCAAAAAGAGCAAATTACTCGGTTACCCACTAAACATTTAAAATGGTGTAGGCTTGGCCGCTCAATTTTTAAAAGTATAAATTTACACGCTCAACTCCCAAACGTGTATAGTTTGTGTATAGTTTGCATCATTCTGCCTGTTCTCACCGTCAAGTTTGTCACATCTAATGACTCACACAAATCACGAGACATAATCAAGAGGCAAACTTGACTGTGAAAATAGACGGAATGTGCACATTTGGGAATTGAGTGGGTGACTTCATACTCTTAAAAGTTGAATGGCCAAAACTATACCATTTCAAAAGTTTTGTGGGCAACTAGATAATTTGCTCGCTCGAGTGAGTAGCATGAATCATTTTCTAGGATGGGCGTTGTTTTGCATGATCCAAATCTGACGAAGTCCTTCTAACTTGTCTCACCTTGTGCTTATTATTAGTCTCCCCGGGTACATCTACTGATAGTCATCATAATGGACACTCAGTGTCTGTAGAAAGAAATTCTATGTGCTGCAAGCTTGATAGCAACTTCACCATGTGCCTACTTGCATACTTACTGCATTGCCTCTAAACCCGTGTGCATGTACATGGCTGGAACAGAGCTGGTGGCTTGCAAGACAAAGAAGGTGGTGTGAGGGAGCTACTTATTGGCAAGGATGATGAGCTACTTCAGTTGGAAACAAGAACCCTTCCCAGGGCTGACGTTGCTGAAGTCAGCATTCAGGTTATCACTTGTGCTTGTAAAAAAAGTTTTTTTTTTTTCATCATAACATGTATACGCAACAAACTTCTCAGCCTATGTGGATTGTAAGTCCTGACGATCATAAATTTCTCCACAGGCTGTACAGTTTGAGGAGGCGAAAAATAAGGCATTTGATCTGGCCTCAAAGCCCGAGGGGACTGCCGCACCTACAAAGGATTTCAAGGCTTTATTCTCCCAAGTCACTACTCGCTTTTGATGCATTAGTGTGAAAATCTATATGACTCTGGTTGTATATTTGTGACGGATTAAAGTTCAGCAGTTAAGCGTGCGAGTTGCTATTCAAACTACAACTGACGCTCCCAACTGGGCTATCAATATAAGAAATGCAGCTGGAATATCGATTGGCTTGTCATGTTAACGTGCGTTGATTTACTTCCAATTTTATATAAATTTATATAATATATCTGAAATATTGATTTACTTCCAATTTAATGAAGCAACAATGGGCAATGTAATCCCAAACAAGGAAAAGGAGAGTGGCCATCAAACCCAATATGCCATCCAATATCTCTGCTGTTTCATTTTTGGTTGAATGATTACATTTACTACCATGGACTCTCGTAGCAATTTCTTGCAACATCTTAGTGTTTGGATACCACAAACATCTTAAATAATATTTCGCTTGCATCATAAACACATTTTTCAACTCACCTATTTATATTCTCAATTATCTTTTTATCTCACATATATCACATCATAAAAAGTACTACAGTAATTATTTCAAATAATACTCTATTCAAATAATACCCAGTATTTAAATATCGTTTTTTTGGGGATTTTTAATTAGTCCCTGCTGCACTCCATCCATCAAAATCCAATTGAAGTGATTTAACCAGAAAAGATATCGAACTCCAAGCAACAAAAAAGAAATAAATAAAGGTGAAAATGGCGCGCAGCTGATAAAGGAAAAGGCCGAGGGTTATTTTGTGAGCGGCCGTTGGAGTCCGAGAAATGGCGACAATCTTGATTCAGAACTCCAACTTCCACCACCATGTCCACAAGCAGCACCTGTGCCCTAGTAGATGTGGAAGAAACCCTACCACCGTATCTCTCAATTTCTCGTCTAACCTGATTCATCACTCTAATCTCCGGGCAAGCGTTCCTGCAAATAAACCAGTACTGCAACTTCCTTCCTCGACAAACTCATCTCTTTCAATTTATTCCTATTCCGTCGTGTGTATCCTCTGTAAACGTTTTCTGGTCATATTTTTCCTTCCTCTTGCAGAGACAACGGCGGGGTGCTAGGATTGTTAATTCTTCGGAGAAAGAGAAGGAATCCATCCAGAGCAGCTCAGAAGGCATGGTGATTCTCTCTTTATTTCGGTCCTCCTTTCAAATTTCAGGTTATGCTAGTATTCCTTTTTTTTTTTAAGAGTCTGGAATTTCTTCTGTTCAGATGAAGAGGCGTATGATTTGGGGGTCAAAGCTGCATTGTCCGTGCTCAGATTCTACAAAAGTTTAGTTGTTGTATATATATCTTTTAAGCGCCTTTTTTTTTTTTTTTTTGGGGGCCGGGCATTCGGGTGGGGATGGAATGGAAGAAGAAAAGAAGTTCCTAATGCCGTCATATTTATTTTTTGTCATATTTATTTGGATAGGTGAAATCTCGCCGTTGTTGCCAAAGAGTTGCGTTTCGTTCCAACATGCAGCGAGTATTCCATGATTGCTTACAAGAAATATGGGTTTGCTAAGGGAACCGCTTTGACTGCTTGGCGTCTATGCCGCTGCAATCCTCTCGGTACGTACTACTACTGTACCACAATCCTCTCTTCGTCTCGATACTTAACAACACATGAATAAGAGCACCCAGCCAGATCTGTTTTCTTCTCTCTATCTGCCTCATTTACCATCTTTGCGACCATTTCCTGCCTACGTCTTCTTCAATATTAGATCATATGCTGCTATATTTCATCTCCAGGAGGCTCTGGCTTTGATCCCCCGAGATGGTTTGATGAGACGAGACCAACACGGCATTGATGCCAAAATAATTTCTTTGCCGGTATACTTACTTCTCATGTTCCCTGACCGACCCAAATTATTAGTCCGTATGTTCCAAGTCAAATGAAAATGATGTATAACAAGAAGAAAAAGGACTGGTTACTACTAGTTGTATGTAAATCTTTTAATACTAGTTGTTGTAATTCACTGATTCCATCCATCTCATATTCGCACTAAAATAAAGAAATAATAGTGGTGAATTACAACCACAACAACATATCTGCGCATCTCACTGAAATAAATTGGCCAAAAGCCACAGACGGAAAGAAATGATGGATGGAATCCCTACTCTGAAGCTGCGGCGAGATCCTGGTATTGCCATGGATTGAACGCCGTGGATCCGATATCCACCCCGCCGACATTGTCGGAACCATCAATAGCAGCACGATGTTGAGCATACTTGCCATTGTAGTTGTAGACTTCCAAGTCACCCCAGGGCGTTGCTGATATTTCGGTTGATAAGTCGAACCATCTTGGTTTATGTTCATCACCCTTGGCTTCACGCATTTTCTTTTCGGCTCTTTGCCTCTCTTCCAAGCTGGGGGAGCAACGAGGACCAAAAATAATAAAATCAATTTATTTCAGAAGTTCAAGCTTTTATCCAACTCTTCTCCATTACTCTACTTTACCACGCAGAACAAAATGATGTATTCCTTCTATTTCCCCAATCCCCCCGTTATTTTGCGTGTGTGTGTGAGAGAGAGAGAGACCTGCTCTTTTCTGCCGCTGCCTTGGACAGGTCACCCTTCTCAAGTGCTTGCCGATCAGGACGTAAGCGAGAATCAGACTCCAACAGCTTGCTGGGTGCAGTTTCAAAGCTGTTTACCTTGTGCCCGAAATGCGTATACTGAAATTTGTCATTTTCAGGTGCACCGGCAACCCTCCATACCTGCCGCAACAACAAAAGAAGTTCATATTATTTCCTAGTAATTGGCAACAACAAACTAATTGACAGTTAGTCCATGAATACTACTGAATCCTAGTATTTTATTTTGTTAAAATATTCAGCCATTGCCACTAAGACTATGTTCAATAGTGGCTTCAGACTATGTTGCAGTTCCTTTTCCTCAAGTCACGGATCAACAACACACACCACACAGACTATGTTGCAGTTCACTAAGACCATACTTCTAATTGGCAATTGTCTTGTAAGCGACAGAAATAGAGTTGCAATATCTTATTGCTGGCACCAAGAAAAAGTAAAATTGGACTTGCTACATTAAAAGAACATATGTCAGGTTCAAATTTGGCAAGCAAAATATGATCGCAAAAGTCCCCAAGGAATACCACACACAACTTAGCAAATTTAAACCAGACCAAGCATATGTCCAAATTGGCAAAATCTAACAGTACGAGGGAATTCCATATTTATGTACAGAGCAATATAAATAAAAGCACTGAAGCTGACCTCCTCCAGCTTTGTGCCAGGAAGCGGTTCTCCTTCCAAATCGCATGGTTGAAAGCTCATGAACTCATTCCATTTTCCTGTCATTAGAATTTTGGGCTGCTTCTTGACCATTGTATACATATCCGTCAACTTCATAGCGACCAGCCCTAATAAACAGAAGCAGCGATGTTTCACAATCTGAAGGCACGTTAAGCAAACTAAACCAATAAAAGAAAGCAAACATGGTGAAGCTCCTCACAAAAACACAAGATTCTTAGGTTGGGCTGCTGGAGTAACATATCTGATATATCAATTTAAAAAGCATTTCAACAGTAATCCAACGACAACCCAAGGTGTTGATAGGATGTCTAAAAACATATTGTTGTTACTTCAAAATTTAACATAAAAAAAATTGACAGCATAATGAATTTTTGGAAAGTATTCAGTACAAATTTCATACTTGGTATATTGTTTGTACAGAAGTGATAACTCTTGTCTCTTGCAGGAAGCTCAAAATGGAAAAAAGATATCTCATTACACAGAATGGGAGGATTTGGTTTTACATAAGCATGAGATTGTTACGTGAACTAGAATCCAGGAAAAATGTCAATGTGGCTGATTCAACAGAATAGAAGAATTTGATTCTACATGGAGCAGGTCATATGTAAACTCGAGGTTAGAACTTCTAAACATCTTGAAGCAAAATATCTCTGATCAGCAGATAAGCCAAATTTACCAAAAACAATCTGTCAACAGTTGTAAACTTTACAGTGTGTATAACCACATACCCGAACCAACCACAAGGTTGAAAATACAGCACAACTTTGTCCCCAGTGGTCAAGTTTGTCAAGACCATCTCCCCAGGTGAATCAATCCAGGTTCGACCAAATATAAGATTGTTAATTTTTGTCAGTGGTGGAACCAAGTCAAGGACGACACCATCTCTTTTAAGTGTCAGCCGCGTCCTGGATATTCATATGAATAAAGCAAGATGTTACCATATAGCTTGACCAAAACACAATCTCATGTGTTTGACACATCAAGGAACTTAATTGACTAGTATATCCCGAAGCCCAGTATAAGTTCCTAAATCAGAATATGCAGATTTAAAAGCATCAAAATTTTGAAAATGACAAAATCCCATTTTAAAAAATAAAAAATTGAAGAAACAAGCAGGTACATTCACATAGTTTTCACATCAGACGTAGAATTTGGTCAGAAATACGTCTTGGATTTCTCTTGTGGCCTTGAATGGAGGAAAAGCTCATAGTTCACATTTTCCTAAGTTCCAACAGATTAAGGAACGCAAATGAACATTTGATCGCAACAAAAACTGTAAAGCAGGCAATCCAATAAGGGAAAAAACCTAATATATGTTAGATAAGATCCACGGACATGTCTACAAGTAAATGCAATGATGTCTTCCATTATTTGATCATCAAGTTCACAGAATAAGTAGCACTTTGGACAACCTTTCAAATTGAATAAACAAGACAAAATGAGTGTCTAAAGACAGATTACCAAAACACAGCTCTTACCTTCCAAGGGGATAAACTTCAACTGAGTTGCCCAAGAATTTGGTCTTCACCTTTGAAGTTATATCATAAACAAAATGGTCATTTTCGGCATGAGCTGCACTCATGGGAGGGTGATGGCTTACCTGATACCAAAGAAGTCAGTTACGGACTAAACCACAACCGTGATGTATTTTGCACATCAGAGACACAAAACACCAATAGAACTGTACAACGATTGTGAAACAGCAGCTAGCCTTACTAACTAAACTAGTTCCTTCCCATTAGTGCTCCCAGAGTTCACTGGTTCACCACACACACACACCCCCCCCCCCAAAAAAAAAAAAACCTTTCAGTTGAGTTATTTAGATATCAAAAGAATAATTTATAATAGCAAGGTCTCTCCCCCTTTAACTTCCAAAATTGATTTCTTTAAATGATCAAGGACTTGGTGGCTAACTAACCAACAATTTTCCTCATGAAATGGGCATATAAGGAGCAAAATAAATTCTTTATTTATTGTACTCGTGTAAATTGTTAACTAAATTGACCCATCAAGAGTGCCCATATGACTTAATAAACATTAAGTGTTCCCTTGTCAAAGAGAGCAACCAAAGGAGCACAAAGAGAAGCAAACAGTAAAACAGGAGTGCTAGACAGCAATGATGCTTCATAGCTGACCTGCTCTGCTATAAATGTAATCCCACCATGGTTGATCATTTCATAAGTTTCACCAAGAATTGGATTGAAAGGTTTCCAAGCGCGCTGGTAAGCATAATACAAGGATATAAACCAGGAAGCTGCAAAATTTGGTTTAACATCAGCTGATGAGCTGCCATTATTTCAGCACATGTGTAAAGAAGGTGAATGAGAAAAGAAGTGCTGAATTTCAAAACAGAAACATTACCAACGTAAACCAGTCTCATATGTGGGTCATTACATTGATCCGCCAAGTCTAATAGGTAGGAATATTCCATTAACTGTGATGGAAGTTTTGCATAGCAACAAACTGATCAGTGAAACAGTACTGAGAATCATCTACGGATTATGAACTGCAATTTACACAAACCTCGGCCATCCTCTGAAGCATTGTCATAGGCTCAAAGATAAGAACCGGTAGTGTCACCATTGACGTGACATCGGACCCAATATACTTTTGCATCATCTTCCAATAATTGTCGCGATCCTGCAAGAGAAATACTCACGGGTGAGGATGAGCAAACCAAGCAGTAAACATTGCAAAATTGTGAAGTTACAGAATCATCCATTCATTTCGTTTGCGTTATCTAACCATAAGCATGATATGCCGGCTAACGTATTAATGAGCTTTTCCAGCACTAATAGTACTAGAACGAGATCTCTTGGTCTATGTGATAAAGTGTAAATATCTGTTTTCACAAACAATTGCACTGAAAAAAAAACTGTGCCAATTTTTTTATATTAAAATGAACAAAAAGAATTATCCCAAAAATATGGTAATAAGCATCAAGGGCAGGGGGTCAAGAAGGAAAAGGCAAAAGGTACCTCCTCCTTCCATCTTCCTTTCTGAGCTTCCGACTCGGCATCTCCACTGCCCCCTTCGGGATTTATAACTTCCAGCCCTTCATATCCAAGCAACCTAGAGGACAGCAATATCTTTCGAATAAAAAGGACGCATATAAATCAAGAAAGCATGAAAATTGTTTAAGGCTTTAAGCAAAGTTCAAACGTGATAGCTTCGTCAAGATGTTTGGATAATTGAGGAGTAACAAGAAAAGAAAAATTTAATCATCTCTACGCCCACATAAATTCAAGTAAACGAACAAACTCCAAAAGGGAAGTGAAAGATTAAAAAACATTTGTTGATACGAGTTTACCCGTTAACTGATTTGGACACAACACTGCCGAAATTATACAAGCCCCACGCTATGGAGGTAAAGAACCCACCGCCTCCGTCACCGCCACTAGTTTGTTTCTGCGCCATCTGTGAGAAGTCCCCTTTTGCTCAAATCTAAACCCTCAGTCTCTCAATATTAAGTTGAGGTTTCAACAAAGAAAGAAGAAAGATTAGAACAACAATTCAACGCAGATATAATGTTGGATTTGGAAAAACTTAGTGGTTGACTGGATTTAAAGGAGAATGCAATGAGAACATGAGACGATGACTGGATATACATTTCAGTAGGATGGTCCCTGGCGGGTTCTTTTGTTTGGACTAGTCAAAAATGAACCATTCCGTTCTACTTTATTTGGGTTAATTACATTTACCTCCCC